GCTCCCCCCGCCCCCCCCCAAAAAAAAAGAAGTTCAGAGGCAATTGAGTTGGACTGGCTGATTACTGGTGGAGAACCTCTTTTTAAAAATTTTGTTTTGTTTTTGGTGCCGGTTCTAGGTTCTTTCCCTGAACTTTTTTTCTGCTCTCAAGGCTAGCACTCTACCACTTTAACCACAACTCTACTTTGTGTTTTTTGGTGGTTCACTGGAGATGAGTCCCATGAACTTTCCTGCCCGGGCTGGTTTTGAACCATGAACCTCAGATCTCAGCCTCCTGAGTAGCTAGGATTACAGGCGTGAGCCTCTTAAAAGGGTTATCTCTGCATTGTGTCTTTCCTATATATGTATACAATACACCTCCCCTAAATCCAGTCCCCTCTTCTTTTTCCACTAACTTCTCCTTCTTAAAAAATAATTTCAACAATTTTCATTCTTTCTCCTCCCACCCTTCTTCCCTCCCTTTTTTCTTCCTTCCTCCCTTCCCTCCTTTCTTCCTTCCTTCCTTCCTTCCTCCCTCCTCCTCCTTCCTTCCTTGCTTTCTTCCTTTTCCTTCTTTCCTTCCTTCCTTCCTTCCTTTCTTCCTTCCTTTACTTTCCCCTCCCTCCCTCCCTCCCTTCCTTCCTTCCTTCCTTCTTCCTTCCTTCCTTCCTTCCTTCCTTCCTTCCTTCCTTCTTTCCTTCCTTCCTTCCTTCTCCTGATCTATTTCTTTGGTGCTGGTCCTGGGGCTTGAACTCAGGGGCTGAGTACTGTCCCTGACCATTTTTTGCTCAAGGCTAGTGCTCTATCTCTTGGGCCACAGCTCCACTTCCAGCTTTTTGGTAGTTAATTACAGGTAAAACTCTCATGGACTTTCCTGCCTGGGCTGGCTTTGAATGATGATCCTCAGATCTCAATCTCCCAAGTAGCTAGGATTACAGGCATGAGCCACTGCGACTGGCTTCATTGTCTCTTTTCATACATATATATCAAGTAATTCAAGAGTGTTCACCCTTATTCATCCTCTCCCTTCACCTTCTCTCTATCCACTGGATCTCACTCCTAAAGGAACCTGTTTTACTTTTCTACCATTCTCAATGCCACCATAATCTGTTTTGATTTCTTGACGTGTTTGTGTGTGTGTGTGTGTGTGTGTGTGTGTGTGTGTCTTATTTATACAAGGTGCATTCTCTATGATATTTCCCACATGCTTGTGCATTTTAATTGGCTTGACCTCTCCTATTGTTCTCTCTTCCCAGGTACCCTCTATCCACTGCAACATTATTTTTTTATTGAAAAGGTGATGAGCAAGGGGGTTACAGTTACATAAGTAAGGCAATGGGTACATTTGTTTTTAATCATTGTTACCCAATCCCTCATTATCTCCTGCTTACTCCTCCTTAATCTTTTCCTCCCAAGTTGTAATGTTCATATCCAATATAGTATCAAGTGAGTATCAATGTTGCTTTGGTTCATCCATTGTCCTGCTGTTTCTGTGATTCCATTTCCCTTCCATATATTGCCTAATCTTTTTAAAATATATTTTTATTGTAAATATACTGTTACATTACATGAGAAAGGTAATGAGTACATTTCCTATTGAGCATTGTTATCCCTCCTTTGTGTTTCCCCTACATCCCTTCCCTCTGACCTCCCTGACTCCTCCTTCCCCCCCAAATTGTAAAATTTGTTTTCAAAATAGTGTCTTGTACATTTCATTGCTGCAGTGGGTCAACCTGTATCCTTATTTCAGCATTTTGTTATTTCCCTTCCCTGGCCCAAATTAGAAAAATATATATACAAAATTCAGGGCACCAGAATCAAACACAAGGTACAAAAAAATAAGAGAAATGTATTTGTATACATTTTCTTGATCCATTCATCTACTGAGGGGCATCTGTGTTGGTTCCATATCTTAGCTATGGTGAATAGTGCTGCAGTGAACATAGTTGGGCTGTAGCTTTAGTATGGCCTTTTTTGTGGTCATTTGGAAAATTCCAAGAAGTGAGATTGCTGGGTCATAGGGAAGATCTATGTTTAGTCTTTTGAGGAACCTCCACACTGCTTTGCAACATTCCTTAATCTAGCCTTTGTGGACAAACTTCCAAAATAACACAAGGGATTCCACCATCAGAAACTCATTTGCATTTTCTCATTCTCTAGGATATTTCTCACTTATTATAAAATTATTTTTCCTTCATTCTGAGACTGCTTATTCTCAGGAGGGAAGTGTAAATTCTCTTCACCTGGATATCACACGAATCAACCATTTATTTAGTTTGTGGAGAAGGGGTGAGAAGGCATTTTGGCTCCATTTTACCATGCTTGGCCAGGAAAAGCACAGTGGTTTTAGGATGATCAATTGTGGTGACTCCCATGCTTAATCCATCTCTTTATATAAACTTGTCCAAAAATATCAAAGTGTTGGAGACATTTGGACAACCCTAGGGGGCTCCAAATAAGATTCAGGTCCTGTACTTGGGACCTGAGGGATTTATTTAAAATGTAGTCCTGGCCCAGCATTAGTGGCTCACCCATATAATCCTAGTCACCCAGGAGGCTGAGATCTGAGGATCTCAGATCGAAGCCAGCCCAGGCAGGAAAGTCTGTGAGACTCTTATCACCAATTAACCAGCAAAAAAGCCTAACCTTGTGTGAAAAAATTAGGG